ATGAACAGTAAAACCTCGCTCAGCTACCACAGCACAAAAACAAACAGCTCACCTCATGGGCCAGTCGGAGACCAACTGCAGGGGTCCAAGCTGGTTCCCACCCCTGTGGTTTGCTTCATTGCCTGCATAGGAGTGGGGAGCCCTGTTGATCTGGACAGGTCTGTTGACATGCCTCTTGGCTGCAAGCTGTGCTTTGGAAAAGGCGGACTGTGAGTTTCTGTCTCTGTCCAAAGATCCAACCACATAGCCCCGGGCTTGGCAGAGGGCTTCTTTTGCAGTGCAAGATAATGGACAGTGGGCAGGGTATAATACTGCCTCATATCTTCCCCGTGTTTAGGAATATAATAGGAAAGTACTTTCTCTGGTCTGTCTCTGCTGTATCTTCTTTCTTCTCTGTGCCATCCAGGATATAGCCCATGGCCCTGACCAGGTAGTTCCACGTTGCCCATAGCTCGTGGCATTTAGCTGCTATCTGCCCAGTGTTGAATGGTAGACACTGGGCAGAATGCTGTAGGAACACAGAGTTCACCCATGTTTGGGAGGATGATGAGGAGGGATTTCCTGTTTCAGTGATGCTGGCTCTCATTTCCTCCCCCGTGTCAGCTGCTGGCTATGGCATCCTGGGCCCTAACCTCCGTGCTAGCTTTCTTCTTCCAGGTGGGAGGGAGAGCATATGAAGCCTAACTCAAGAGTCTGGCCCCTGAATCACTGGCTTCTTCCCACAGGATATTGGAAGCACTCCCAAGATGACACTGGCAGGGTTAAGGGAGTAAGGGGTATTGTGGACAAGTGGTGGCCCCTCTGCTATTTCTCAACCACCCCAGTATTTATTCAATCTCATGGATTTCTCCTTCAGATTGATTCTCTGTGTCTGGGTGTGTTTGCCTTCCCTGCTTTGGAATATTTGCATCATCCACTGGCTCTCCTCCGAGCTTCCCTTATCACCTGCCTCTGCTTGGCCATCATGGACCTTCAGAAGATTGGCCTTTTGTAAAATCTTTGTCAGGTCTTTAGCACCATGATGAAGAAGTCTTTATCCTCTTTTATGTTGAAAAGTTTTGACAATATATACTTTTTTTTAATATCTGGGAGAATTTGCCAGTAAAGTTATTTGGGGCTAATATTGTCTTTAAAGGAAAATATCAGCAGTATTTAGTCAATGAATCATACCTACATAGATATCTCTCAAGGCAGTCAGTGGCATTTCTGTTTCCTCTAACCTCATTTGTTATGATTCCGCATGAGCATACTAAAGGAGTAAATGAGGTTCTAACACACCCGACAGGCATCAGCCATCTGCTTCCCATCACAGCAGGCAGGATACTGGCATAGCACATCAGTTTGTGGCCACATAGAAGCTCCCTTATACAACAGCCTATGCCCATATGGTGCACTGATAGTGTTTCTCTCAGGTTATTAAAAAATATAGACTATGACCTATAAATTCCATGCTGCAGTACATCTATCTGTACTTCAGTACCTACAAAATGAGTCAATAATATGTACTATGTCACTTCTTTTCTCCAAATTAGCCACTTGGACTTTTTAGGTAGAACTTGAAAATCAGAAGTCCATCTTTTCTTCTCTGGACAAAGTCGATCCACAGATTTTCACAGTGACCTTTTAGTCATCATCTGCCATGAAGTGAATTGTACCCTCCCACCCACCACCAAATCTGTATCATGAGAACTGCAGTCTTCTGCTTTCCATCTTCATGAACAAATACCTGAGGTTCACAATTTACAGAGGAATGACTGATCTGTTGGGTTTGGTTTGTCAGTATCTTGAAGACTGTTCTATCTCTGGTCATCAGGAACATTATCCTAAATTTTTTTCTTTTTTATTCTAGTGTTCTTGCCCAGTTTGGGTAGAATACTGGACTCACAAACAGTTTTGAAGAATTCTCTCATTTTTAATTTTATGGAAGAGTTTCAGACTTGTTCTTATTCAGTAAGTGTCTAAGGATTGAGCTACAAAGACATCTGGTTCTGGGCATTTCCTTCAGAGGAAAATTTAACTACTGATGCAATTTTTAAAAAAATTAAATTACAAACAAAGAAAAAATTTTGCATTATCCACCAAGGAGGTAGCTAGAGTCATCAAATTCAAATAGGCAGAAAGCAATTCAATGATGAAATCGCATTTTTATGGTATATACAACACCACAATATCTTTTCAAGTAACAAGGCCATGAGTGATGTTGGTGTAAAGCAAAGCTAAAACAACTGATGAGTATTAAGAATAGAGCTGAAAGCTTTGCTTTGCCTCTTGGTCTTGGAATCATGAGGTTGATAACTATGAAAGGTGATTCATGGTGAGGTTGAGGCCAGTTCTTCATCACCTCAGAAGCTAAAGGAAAGAAAAGCACAGTTGAACTTCCTTTCAAAAGTGTTTCTGTTATGTGTCTCCGAATGTCTTCAACCATGAGTATTTGGCTGAGAGTTGTAATCTCAGTAGTTACTGTTGGAAAACATAGTAAATAAATATCTCCATTATCTCTTGTGGAATAGAAAGAAAAGACACCTGCCTTTGAATTAACCTTGAGGATGTGGCATCTAACCATGTAATCATCATGAAAGAACTTGATTATATGTATGACATTTAACTGTTCAATCTTTGGTACCTGGGAACCTTGCAGTCTAAATCCATCAGTCAGTTACTAATAAAGATGTCACAATCTCCCAAAGGGATCAGGCACATAACTTTTCCATTCTTCACAGAAACCATACCATTTTTTTCAGTCATATTTTCCAAAAAGTTTATTCTCCTAACTCTTATCTATGCCTAAAGCCACCCCACATCCTAGCCCAAGTTCAACAATGTCACAGTTACCAAAAAAGCCAAATAAATAAGTTTTCCAAACGATATTATTCAAGTTCTCTAAACTACAGTCTGGAAATATCCCTAATTCCACTTTGACATTTCTAAAGCTAACCACTAATGACATCTGCGGCCACCAAGTGGGAATAAGAGAAAGATCTTGACAGTCGCTTTGGCAAAGATTTCAGCAGAGCCAATTACTAACCCTCTGGGAACTTGAGAGGTCAACGCCAAGCTCTGCAGTCCATGGAAGTCTCTTTAAATCTTTCCAGAGTCAGTGAAGAAAGTCTTGCAGAGAAGAGTCTGTGAGAACCGACAGCAGCAGAGCCGCAGACCGACAAGCTGAAGCTTCAGGAGATGCTGCTCCTGCGCCTGAGTGGTTTTCCAGGGAAATAGAATTGAAAAGGAAAACTAGGTTAGAGTGTAATGAATTCTCTCTCCACATTGTTGGTGGGTTCTTAGGAAGCAAAATTTTGGAGGACAAAATCAGTGTCCAACCAAGTGAGCATTTTTCACTTCTGCTTTATAGAGTTGAATAAACTGACTTCCTAGATTTGGATAATTGGGTTTTATACCCATTATTTTTAATTTTGGATTGAATACAGCTCAGAGATTCCTGAAAAACTATATATATATTCTTAAGATTCACTTGAACTTTCATAGGAGAGCAAGAATGTCGATAGAAAATGAAACCTTGAGCTATAAAGGTTTCCTAACTGAAGCAGCTCCTTTTCTAAGTAAATCTAGGCTGTCAATGAAAACCAAATAAGCTACAGTGTCCAAATTAGAGAATTTCACTAGAGAGAGAATGATGTCAGTGTCTTCCTTATCAGATTGCCAAGTCCACTGAAAGCTGTGTTCCATGTGAATGGACAGGAAGACAGCAGTGCTGCACTCAGCCTACACAGAGGCATACACAGTCCACCAGAACCAGATCAATGAAAACCAAGCTGTCTTTCCAAAATTTTTAAGAAGATGAATTTGATTCAGCTAATTTCTTTTCACTGAAGTAGTTCCTTTTTCACTGAAAGTAGTTCCAATTTCACTGAAGTAGTTCCTCTCATACTTGACCTGAAATTAAGTGGTTTGCTATGGAAATTAATCTGGACAAAATTTTTAAAAACCCATAGAAAATATTTTCTGTGATTTGACAAGCTAGATGTTGTTAAGAAGGATTGAAGTTATTATAAAACACTGGGTCTAATGGTTATGTCTCACTGAATATGCTGAATCTGGATACTTCTATTCATAATGGCTTGAATTTATTGTTTTTTCTTAACTTTCATATTGCCATTCTGAAGACAGAATCAGTGAACTGAATCAATAACTAACCACATATTCACCTTTTTAGAAAACACCTCAGATGCTGGTCGTTCCTGAAAATAAAAGATATTGTCCTCATTTCTACTGAAGCTGAGAAATCTTCTTGCTGATATTTGTGTACAGAAAATTTTTGGAAAAAAAAAATTTGAAATTTTTCTTAGGGCTTGGGTTAAAAAGGGAAGAAAGAGAGGAAAATGAGTAAAATGTCTCCTGTTCTTTGCAACAACATCATAGATTCACTCTGGAAAGTCCAAGTCTAGGTTATTGAAGAAAAATTTTACATATTCAATATTTCTACTTGTTAACAATGAAAACAACAAATCATTTTAGATCACCAAATTTATCCCAAAAGGGGAAAATTTATTATCTTAGCTGACTCATATTTGTATCCTCGCCTTAGGAAATTCAGGGTAACCTCATGTCTCATTTAATTCCATTTATAAAGTATAAGGGGGGAAATTTATATAATCTAGAGCATGATTCTATATGTGAAAAAACGTCAACAGAAAAGAAAATTTATTCACTAGAATAATATTGTTAGTTATTCCAATGAAAACAAGCCACTGTTGACTTTTTTTAGAGCTAGAAAGAGAATTGGGATATCAACCACATGTAAATATTCATTCCTAAGAACACCTTGCTTTATTGTGATACGTGTAAGGAATTATCACTATTCCATTAAAGTGAATTAGAAAAATCTATCCTCCTACGATGTCTTAAAGGAGCAGGTGTACTTCATTAACTTCAAAGAGCAATACTAACAAGGGAATGAGGTGTTTTAGTGTTATATTTATAAAAATACAATACTATTGTGATCCTTTTCAGGTGCGCCATATGCCCACAACCCAGGCTAACTGATGGAAAGGATGAGAAATGTAACAGAATTCATCCTCCTGGGCCTCACTCAAAATCCACAACTGCACAAGCTCCTATTCAGTGTGTGTTTCCTGACCTATTTGATCACACTGGCAGGTAACACGCTCATCTCCGTCACCATCTTCATCAGCCCTGCCCTGGCTTCCCCCATGTACTTTTTCCTGTCCTGTCTGTCCATTATAGATGGTTTCTACTCTTCCTGCATAGCTCCCAAAATGGTCTTGGACCTCATCTCGGAAAACAGCACCATATCCTTCAACGGCTGCATGACTCAGCTCTTTGCTGAACACTTTTTTGCCGCAGCCGAGATCATCCTGCTCGTCGCCATGGCCTATGACCGCTACGTGGCCATCTGCAAGCCCTTGCACTATGTGACCGTCATGAGTCGACCTGTGTGTGCTTCCCTGGTGGGGGCCGCTGTGCTCTTGGGATTTGTTCATGGAGGGATACAGATTTTGCTTATGTCTCAGTTACCTTTCTGTGGCCCCAATGTCATTGACCACTTCATGTGTGATTTAATCCCGCTCCTGGAGCTGGCTTGCACTGACACACTCACTCTGGGGCCCCTGATCACTGCCAACAGTGGGTCGCTGTGCTTGCTCACTTTTTCTATGCTGGTTGCTTCCTACGTCATCATCCTGCGCTCCCTGAGGACATGCAGTTCTGAAGGGCGCCACAAAGCCCTGTCCACCTGCGCCTCTCATGTCACGGTTGTCGTTCTATTTTTTGTGCCTTGTTCGTATCTCTATCTGAGACCCGTGACCTCCTTCCCCACCGACAAAGCCATGACTGTGTTTTGCACCCTAATAACACCCATGCTGAACCCTTTAATCTACACCCTCAGAAATGAGGAAGTAAAAAAGGTTATGAAGAAGCTCTGGGGTCAAATAATAAAAAGGAATGTTGGGTGAATCTTGTGATTCGTGTATTTAGACTGGAGTTATCTAGTGGCAATTTATACAGACTTGTTCTCCTTGACTGGGTACACTGAAAGTCATGTTTTCCTCTCTGCTTTAAATTCTTTAATGATGTATAATAGTAGTATGGGGTACAAGGTGATAATTCTGCACACGTATAGGATGTATACTGATCAAATCAAGCAGTGTTTAACATTTCTTTGTGATGGGAATCTTTATACTCCTGCCTTCTAGTTCTTTATAAAATATATAATATGTTGTTGTGAACTAAAGCCACCCTATTGTGCTGTAGAATACTGAAACTCTTTCCTCTTATTGTCTGCCTATTATCCAATTTTCCTTCATTCCCACTCCTCCATAGTCGTGCTAGCCTCTGGTGACCACTAGTATTCTCTCAGCTTCTATGAGAGCAACTTTGCAGTGTCCACTTATGGGTAAGACTATGCAGAGCTTGTTGTTCGGAGCCTGGCTTATGTTCTTTACCTAATGTTCTTTAATCCCACCCATGTTGCCATAAAGGACAGGATTTTGTTAATTTTATGACTGGATAAAATCTTACCATTCATATATGCCACATTTTCTTTATGCATTAATCCACTGTTGGAGACTTTAATTTTCATCAGACGCAAAGACAAGGTCCTGGGCTGACATTGAGACACAGTAGGAAGACAGCCAAGATCCCATCATATTTACACAGCCCAACTTCTTTAAAATAAGAAGAAAAGATAAATGTAATCTAAATCCAACTTGTATTATATTCATCTTTATACCTGTGTACTCATAAAACATAATTATTATTACTTTTGTGAGGAAAGGCCCCCAAAGGTTACAAGTACCAAGAGCCTACTACAGTTATACTGCTGTCTCTTTTGTGGGTATAAAAGGGATCAACACCATATTCCTGACAACTTTCACACTCTGTGCTGCAATCAGAATAAAGCTGTGTTTTAAGAGAGGAAAGACAACTATGAAAGAAATGTCCAGCAGCAGGAAAAACCTTCAAGAAGTATGTTCATCAGAACAGTTTTTTTATCTTCCTAGACTGACCGATTTACAAAAGTTGGCTTACTGTGTAATAGAAAATTTTTTGCTTACAGTCACACAGAAAGAGCCATTTTGCAAACACTCCTATAGGGGCATATATGCCACTCCTTCAGCTATACAATTATTTCTGAAAGGAATTGGGAGAACAATTGGCTGGAATAAAAGAAATACAATGAGGATGCCCAATAGAGTTAAGAGTGAATGCATCTGAACATTAAAGTTATATGTGAGATGTAGACAAAGGAACAGAGGGCTCTGACAATAAAAAAGCGATTAGAGAAATTGCAAACCATGTAAGCATAAATTAGACAGCCCCCATTTTTTATCTTATCTCCAGCACTATTGCCATTATGAATAAAAACCAGTTGCTTCACTGCTTTCCCTGATTCCACCTGATAAAAGGCCATGACATCACGTACTTCCATAAATAAGGCTGAATTATTTAAACTGAAAGCAGATGTCAGTTGAAAAATTGTGAACAGTGTTCCAACACTGAACAAGCTCCAAGGATGTCACCAGGGCATGAGAGATGCCAGAAGCTACAGCTTCTAACAGAGGAATCCAAGGGCACCACTACTGTCCTTCACTAACCATGATCAAAGAGGATGAGTCTCCTGTCCCAAACTCTCTTCACTTTACAATATGTTCTAAGTGCCATCCATTTACGAGTAGGAACCACATAACAGTGACTTAGCATCTCAGTAAGGGTGTTCAATGCGGATTAATATGCACATAAATATTTTTGTAGTAACAAATGGCAAGAATGACTGTGAGATCCCTGAACAGCACTGACTTCAAAGCTCTCAAAAACAATGGATCCTCTATCATCTGATGCTCTGGAAAAGGAGAAAGAAGACACCAGTGCCCAGGCCAAAAGGTCCCCTTCTTTACTGACCCTGTGGTCTCTGTGGGTGAGGTCAGTAACACGTCCAACCCAGAGATCCCAGGATCACCTGTGCCTGACATTTCCTGTGTTCTCCTGACTTTACTCAACACCAGATCTCATGTACAACATCTACAGTGGAAGACCAGAGGCTGCACTGTAATTTTCTAACAAATGTCTACCTTATAATTCATAGAAAATGAACAGCTTTGAAAAATTAAAAATCATCCAAAGATTTCATTCCCAGTGAAACAGAATGAGAAATAAGGTAATGTAAAATTAATAACAGTGATATTGATGACAAAATGATAATGATGATGATCGTGGTGGTGGTGGTGGCAGTGTAGTGATGATGGTTAATAGGTATTAAGCCTTTACCTACACATTCATTTGTGTTCTGGAGGAGTGAATTTCTTTTCACAATGCTCTATTTTATTTTAAAGAGATTGACAAACCTTAGTTTGTTGTTTTTTTTTTTTTCTGTAAAGGGAAGGAAAGCAACACTTATCAGGCTCCAGCCGCCAGTCAGCTACCATTTTCCTGTGAAATATACTCTCCTTTGACTGAGGCACAAACTAAGGAATAAAACACTCATTTCTGAAAGAGGGAACTGAGGATCACAAATGTTTATTTGCTCAGAAAGTCATGTAAACTGAATAAATAAATAATATCTCCTCAGAGCATGTTCCTACTTTTTAGGCTAGCAGAGGCCTAGCCAAGGTTACAGAAGTTGAAGACAGTAAAGAAGGAATCATTGAGGAGCAAAGAGACCCCAGTGGCAACGTGAGGGAGGGAACATGGGAGCCATGGAAAGAGTGGGAATCAGATGGGTCTGGAATCAGATGGGTCACCATGAGCATGGCTGTCGTAAGTACGTTGGGACACAGGGAGTTCCCGGCACCAAGAGATAAGCATCGTCAGAATTCCCTTCTTTTGAAAGAAAGAAAAGAAAACAGATTTGTAGCAACAATAAGAAACTATTCTTAAATGTGACATATCTGTTCTGTTTGTCTTTCATTTTTATAATACAAATACATGTGAATACAACATTGTTTTAAAATGGGGATATTGGTAATACAACCACCATTGTTAATTCCCTACCACTTTGTTTGTAACTCTGTATTGTCTGTATTGTGCTTGTGATATGTTGTAAAATGTTGTATGTCTGTTAATGTTTCCCTCCTTTTATCCTTAAAATAAAAAAAATAAAAAATAAATAAATAAATAAATAAATAAAAATAAAATGGGGATATTGGCCAGGGATGTAGCTCAGTGGCACAAATGCCTGCCTGGCAAGTGCAAGGTCCTGAGTTCGATTTCCGGTACCAAAAAAATAATAAAAATAAAAATAGGGATATTAAAAAATATTCCTCTGCTCTTCTATTTCTCTTGACCAAAAAATATATTATGAATTTGATAGTATTTTTCCAATCCCTAACCTTCACATACACAAATATACACTTACACATACATACCTAGAGATAAAATAATATTGGCATTTAGCGATTTTTCTATTAATGTATCATATTAGGTACACCATTCTTCAACTTACCTTTCTGTACACTATTATTTTTTCAGACTACTCTGTATTGGTATATAGAAATCTAATTTATTTCTAACTACTATACAGAAATCCAATATGTCTCTCATATTTTATTGAAGCATTCATCTCTTTGGTGGTTTCTGTATTATTACAAAATATTCTATGGTAAATAACATTGTACATGGTTACATGTGCACATACATCAGAGTTTTTCTAAGTACACATGTATATGAATCAATACATATATGTTGGGAGTTACTATTGTCAGAAACTGTATTTAAAAACTTTATATAGATCACCTCATTTAATTTGCACAATAACAATTCGAAATGCAGATTTTCTTTACAATTTTTCTCTTACTTTTACTTTTAATGCTTTAAAAAAGGAGGAGATCCTGACACTTGACGCATCATAAATGGATCTGGAGGACACTGTGCTCAAAACACGAAGCCAGTCGCAAAAATACAAATACCGCATTATCTCTTATATGTGGAATCTAAAACATCAGGCTTTTAAGGGCAAGCGCCAGAGGTTCATATCGTTTTGGGCCACTTAGTCAAGGTCAGTAGCAAGCACAGAAAATGAGATCCAGACTCAAGTTCGTCTGTCTCCAGGGCTGGCTCCCCACTCACCTGCTGCCGCTGCCGCACTGCTGACGTCACAGAGCCGGGGAGGAGCACTAAGAGAAGCCAGGCCGGGATGCGCAGGAGCCTGGGACGCAGGCTGTGTGTGAGGGCACTCAGCCAGGCTTGCCGCGTGTTTCTACCGCGTGTTTCCTCCTGTGTTTCTACCACACAGACTCGTACGGTGTCGACGTGGCTTGCTAAGTTCAGATGACGATGATGGATCAATAATAAGTGATTTTGAGCCTGGCGTGGTGGCGCACGCCTGTAATCCCAGCACTCAGGAGGCTGAGGTAGGAGGATTCTTCCAAGTTCGAGACCAGCCTGGGCTACAAAGTGAGCTCCAGGCCAGCCTGAACTGCATAGCGAGACCCTGTCTCAAAAAAACAAATAATTAATAATAATAATAATAATAATGACTTCAAAATAATAATAATAACTTCGAACAATAATAACTTCAAATAATAATAATAATAACTTGGAACTTCAAAATTAGATAACCTTGAAGAATCAATTAACCACATCAAACAACATAGTTTTCTCTCATTGAAAACAGGAAAAATAATAATTCAGGAGACATAAATATATCCTAAACCCTTATTACACACAAAAATTATGCAAGTCAATTGAAAAGTCTAAGTAAACTATTAAAGTTGATGAACACAAAAAAGATGAATAATGAACAATGAGCTTTTTTGGTTGTTTTACTTATAGAAACAAACTTCCTTTTTTCCCCTTGCTTTGGCACTCATTATCCGCCTGCAGTTTCTTATCATGTGGAGAACTTTCTCATGGCATTTTTTTACCTCTTGTTTCTCAGGGTATAAATCAGTGGATTCGGCATAGGCATCGGACTGCCTTAAAACCTGTCATGTTCTTTTCCACGGATAAAGTAGATGATGGACGCATATAATTAAATACACAGGGCACAAAGAACAAGTTACAACAGTACAGTGGGCCCCGCAGGTAGAGAGGGCTTTGCGCCTCCCCTCCGCACTGCGGGACCTCAAGGAGCACAGGATGACAACGCAGACGGCAGTCAACATGAGGAAGTTCAGCAGGCAGATCACGCCGCTGTTGGCCACCACCAGCACACCAGTGACATAGGTGTCAGTGCAGGCGAGCTGCACCAGAGGATCACAGACAAAGTGGTCAGTCATGCTGGGCCCGGAGAAGGGCAATCAAAGGTCCAGTAGGAGCTGAACCAATGAGTGCAAGAAGCTCCCCAGCCAAGCCACTGCCACCAGCATGGCACAGTTTCCTGGTCATGACGGTCGTGTAGTGAAGAGGCTTGCAGATGGCCACATAGTGGTCATCACCATGAGCAGAATGATTTTGATTTCAATACCTCCCAAAATATGGGCTCCAATGAGCTGAATCATGGATCACTCATAAGAGATGACTGTGCCCTCATATAGGGAGTCAACAGTGAGAGAGGAAGAACAACATTTATCAATAAAAGATAAGTTGGCCAGGAAAAAATGCATGGGGGAAGCCAGCATCCAGCTGATATCATGGTCCCAAGAGAAAAAACAGGCCAAACTGATTTGGTTGCCATCTTGGCAAGAGTTGCTCATTGTAATTCTCTAGGAACTGAGAATTTAGAGCACGCCCCACTCTTTGCATTTGCATAACATCCCCTAACGACCTCCCTGAAACCACACATGTGCATGTTTATAAGGACAGACTCGGAGCCTCTGAGCAGCAGCATAAGCAGCCACATGTTGTTGATGCTACTAGGTAGTGAGTGTCTGTGCTATCTGGATTGGACTTCTAGGGATGAAAGTGTTATCTTCAGTCCAAGCCCATGTATTTAGAAAAGAGTGTAAAACAGCTGAATTCAGGGACCTGCCACTCCAAAGCAATTTTCATTTGTTACAGATTTCATGGAGCTCCTAGCTCATAGTTCTTCTGCCATTTTGGGGATTTTGCATCTGGTGAGATCTCAAATAAGAATGTTTTTTATAATATACTTTACTGGTCATTTCGTCTGGCAAAAGTGTAGTAAAATGCCTTGGAGAGAGATGTCCTTCAATTATCAGTGGTTTTTTTTCTCTAAAAATATGTTTTGATACCTACTGTTTTGAGGCTGTCTTTTAAAAATTCATTTTCTGGGTTGGAATGTTAGTGCCTCACTAGAATTGTGTGACCTATAGGGCAAAATAAAGCCTGCCCATAAACTCAGCTTTACTTAGATAATCCCTGAAGCTCCAGTGGCACAGTTAGTTAGCACACGGTACTTATATCTAGATAATCCCTGTTCGTAATCACTTTCAAATCACTAAATGAGGCACAGAAATGTTATACATAGTCTGTACACGGATGCCCATGGAAAGCAGCAGCTAGTGATGGTCAGGGAATACTGGTTCCTTGTGAACCGTTCTCTAAAATAAGATGATTGCTATGGAGGGATGCTGTGGCTTCCAAACACATTCAAAGAGGTAGGTACAACCTCGTACGTGTGAGTTATATGGCACAGGGGGTTTCACCTTGGCACATTCATACACACACAGCACATACTGGATTGGTTCCATCCCATCCCTGCCCACATCTCTGTCCTCCTTCTTCCCTCAGTTCTCAACATAGTAGGGTCTTTGGTTTACAGGTGTGTTAGATTTATAATGTGTTCCTACTGTCACAGAGAATTATGAGCAGAATACTCAGTCTCGGGATATTGTGGATCCAATAACAGTATGAGCTTGTTGGTCTTTCATGTTCTTTTCTTAGATACTTCATATGGGTATAGAGCATTTTGGACAGTTTAGATCATTATCGATAAGCTAATTTGTATTTTCTATGTTTTGTATTTTCCACTCATATCATATCAAAAGAATCTTTTTACCTCATTGGTTTTTCTTGCAAATACCTTTGACCTCTACTTGACACTGCACAACTATATAATTCACTTAGTTTTTTATTAAATAAGCACTTGAATTGTTCTTGTTACTTCCTATCATGCATGTATATGCTGAAATGGACCTGTCTTTGTAACATGCCTATTTTATGTTGAATAAATCTCTATGAATAAGAAATACTGCACTAGAAAACCTGACTAGTCATCAAAACCTTGTTATATAAGATCAGACTTCAGAATATTTTATATCAACACACACTCACCAGCACTGCATTGCAAAGTTGTCATAAATCTTTGTAAAATAAATGAGGTAAAAGTATTTCGCTGGTTTTAATTTGTATTTTTTCATGATTAATGAAATAGAGAATTTTTAGATGATTTTTAGAATTATTTTTATTAATTTCCCTTATTTTATAATAGTACGTAAATATTTTGATTTGTTCAAAACAATAATAGTTTTAGTTGTCGCAAATATTTTCCAAAATATCCCAGATTTTTATGTCTTTAAATGTGTCATTTGCAACACTGTGCTTTTTCTCAAAATGTCCATCACTACCCAAAAACCAGATATACCTTTTGAAAAGATCTATGTTTTATCTGAAGTCTTCAATGTATGCTTTTTTTGGAAAGACAATTAGTTTTGAAAAATGCTTATCTAGTTCTTAAAAATATTTTATGAAATATACATATTATTTTTAATATCTTTGAAAACTAATATCCTTTTATCTATATTCATCGATTTTTTTTTTTTTTTTTTTTTTTTTTTTTTTTTTTTTTTTTTTTGTTTTTGGTTTTTCTCTGGTACCGGGAACCGAACTCACGACCTTGCACTTGCCAGGCAGGCGCTTTGCCGCTGAGCTAAATCCCCAGCCCCCATTATTTGTATTTTTAAATGTCAAGAAAATTTTGAATTTTTCAAATCTAATCTTCTTTTGCCCAATGCATTTATTTTTATATTCAACTTTTTTCTGAATATAATTGGTTTTTCATCTCTTCGGTTGCGTATTGTCCCATCACTTCTCTCATAATACTGAAACAAATAATTCAAAGATAAAAATAATGATATTTTTTATTCCTTTACCAGAATCTGGATGATATGTGAAAAAATGCTTAAACTTTAGGATCTCAGCTTGATACATGTGATAATGACATTCCTCATTTCCCCTATTGTTATTTTTTCTATTTTAGATGTAAACACATTTAGGAGCAGTAAGACCAAGATTTGAATGAACACCATGTGCCTAAAAAGCGATAAAAATCCATTGTAAAAATGGTTCATATGACTCTAAAGAACACACCCTGTTCAATCAATTATAGTGCTTTTATTTCCTCACAGTGAGAATATTGCTCTGTAACAAATACAGGGAATTATTCAACACCTTCTTTAGAGTAGGCTTTAAAATGTAAAATGCCCCTGAAACCTAACAATAGCTGAAGTTGTCCAAATGAGAAACAAAAGTGTTTCTAATAAATTTGAGGAGTGTTTCTTTGCATCACACAGTCTGTGTTACCCTCTGCAGAACTCGCTTCTTCCACAGGTGTCTGAGTATAATCTTGATTATGTATATTCTTACGTGCTTTGGGTATGGCATGAGCTCAGTTTTAACTGCCAGGATATATCTTCCTGCAGCCTCAAACATTCAGTGAACTTCATGCTGGAATGTGACTACATCACCCCTAACTTCAAATTAAACTCAGCTGATGCTTTTTATTTGCCCTGAAACAAGATAAAAATAACAAGCAAAACAAACTCTGCCCTGTAGCCTCTTCAGCACTAGTGCCTGAAGAAGAGAGGCCAGGGACTCACACCTCTGCTCCTCCTGTCATCTTCTGTTTATTCCTAGTTTTCCTATAGGAAAATATATTTTTCCCTGATAGCTAAGATAATGGTACTCTAAATTTTTATCGGTTTCTTGAAAGGAACAGTTAATGCTTAATTTATATTACCAACTTTACATGCTTATATCTGGTAATCTGAACAACTACTTTGAAGATAACAATATGCAATATAACAACCATTGTTGATTTCCTATTAGCATGTTTTGAAAGTTTATATTGTTTTTAACCGTTTTTTCTTATTTTTATTCTCTTTAAAATAAAAATATATGTTGGCAATTACTAGGAGATACCTATCCACATTCCATTACAGGAAAGGTCGGTGATGAGTCGATATCACAAAGCCATGCTTGGCGAGAGAGAGAGAGAGAGATGCATAAAGAGACAGACAGACAGAAAGACAGAGAGAGAGACAGAGACAGAGACAAAGTTGTTCATTATATGCCTAGTGATGTGGGCAAACTTTTAGGTCAAGTTTTTTTTCCTTGGAATTTCATCAGTGTTGTAGAAAATCCTGGTAGAAAGTATGTTTGCTCAAAACTTATCTGGCACAATTTCAATACCTCTGTTATCCACAGCTCAATTATTTATCTCCATGCCAAACTGGATTCATGGAACAAGTGAACAACGTGACAGAATTCATCCTGCTCGGCCTCACACAGAACCCAGAGGTCCAGAAACTCTTATTTGTCGTATTTGCAGTCATCTACTGCCTCACCCTGGCGGGTAACTTACTCATTGTTGTGACCATCACCAGCAGCCCGGCCCTGGGCTCCTCCATGTACTTCTTTCTGTCCTTCTTGCTTTCATTAATGGCTGCTGCTCTTCTACCATGGCCCCCAAAATGATATTTGACTTCCTGGCTGAAAAGAAAACCATTTCCTTCAGTGGGTGCATGACTCAGCTCTTTGCGGAGCATTTCTTTGGAGGAGTGGAGATCATCTTGCTCACGGTGATGGCCTATGACCACTACGTGGCCATCTGCAGGCCCCTGCACTATGTGATCACAATGAACAGGCGTGTGTGTGGCCTCCTGGTGTCCACAGCCTGGGCCGGGGGACTGCTTCATGCTCTCATCCAAATTCTTTTCACGGTCTGGTTGCCATTCTGTGGCCCAAATGTCATTGACCATTTCATCTGTGACCTTTTCCCTCTGCTAAAACTCTCCTGCGTGGACACCCACGTCTTCGGACTCTTTGTTGCTGCCAACAGTGGGCTGATGTGTGTGCTCATCTTTGCTGTTCTTGTCACCTCCTATGTCCTCATCCTCTGCTCCCTGAAGACTCGCAGTACTGAAGCGCAGCGGAAGGCTCTGTCCACCTGCACCGCCCATGTCACCGTGGTCGTCCTGTTCTTTGTGCCCTGTATATTCGTGTACCTTCGGCCCATGGTCACCTTCCCCATTGATAAGGGAGTAGCTGTGTTTTATACTGTGGTGACCTCTATGTTGAATCCTTTAATCTACACCCTCAGAAACACAGAGGTGAAAAGTGCCATGAAAAAGCTCTGGAGCCAAAGAATAAGCTCAGGTTGTAATTCATACGAGCAGAGAACGTAATACAAATCTATCCACACTTTAGCAATAACGTGACCAATAGGAAAGGAAATGCCCTTGAAGTCAGCATACATCAGTTTAAGTATATTTTCTCTATGTTCTCCAGAATTTCTTTCTTGGTTCTTTTTTCAGGAAGGATGAATATTTGACTAAGTGATAACTGATGCTTCTTCCAATTTTTGTATTCTTGTCATCTATGCAAAATTATTGACCCAAAGGACATCACTAGTCACCATAGAAATGTCATTATAGGTAGAAAATCCATAACTGTTTGTAGTCTGTAGAATAATTTTCTACAAAACTCCATGTATAGATTTCATAACTAATAGGCCAAGATACTATAATATTTAAACAGAGAGACTTAGTACCTTAAGATTTTGTTGAAAATGCAGTTTTAATCTCCACTAATGAAATCAAATTGGAAGTATTATAGTGAGGGATAGAGAACAACCAAGAATGCAGGATTTTTGAGGAACAGATATCATTAAAGAAGGAATGACAGTGAAATTAATGATGCATAACTCCAGGGACACCATTTATCTTCCAATTCCACTCATTCTATAAGAAATAATTTTCTCTGCCTAAAGCAAACGTTTTCAAATACAGCCAATCTTGGACATTGTTTCTCAGGTGGAAGATATTTGGTGAAGAACTTTTTCCATCAAAAGCACTCCATACACCATTTCACCTCCAAAATAGCTCTTCTTGGATCCATTTATGACTCAGTTGATAAGAACAGAGGTGGCTGACAGAATACCTGAGACAGTTCATGACATCAAAGTAATCAAGACAGACACTGTGCGCATTCAAATTCAAGGAGTAAACTGCAGAATAATGAGGTAGGGCCTCGTTTGGGAAGTACACATAGCGTAATTTCAAGGGAAAGCACTCAGATTTAGAAAAAAGAAGAAAAGAACTTAAGTCACAGCTAGGAAAGAAGTCCTGCAAGTTTAATTCTACCTTCCTAGACAGTGAAAAACCCACAGGACTCCTTAGCAATGCCTGCGATCCGTATGACATGTATGTTGCATGCCTTTTACCATGCAGCAGATTAGTAAACACTGCATTCTTTTTGGAAGATTAGTTTTTCTCAGCTGTGGCCAGCACACTTGCTGATCACTACATATCAATGTGCTGCTACCACCATATTTTCCAGCCCACTTCTTTGAGGTGGAACCATGTCTGCAGAATTGATTTGTATCACATTCAGGGAATAGCCTCTAAGAGCCAGCATGCTTAATTCTCTAGCTTTCTTTCCCCTGCTACAGCAAGGCTAGAAAACGCATTGAAATGCCTGGGAAACAGCCTGGCTTACAGAATCAGCACATGGAGGACACTGCCCCAGAGGACCAGGACTCAATCTTTAGTGGTTGAACAGGAAATAAAATTCTATGTGTTAAACCATAAGAGTTCAGGATTCATTACCACAGGGAGATATAGCACATTCTCACTATGACATCAACTAACTTCTTCTTTTTAAAGACCTACCATTATTAAAGAAAGAATAGGATATGTAACTTTTGCAATTATCTTGATTTTCAAGTAGCATAGAATGAGTAAATGAGGTCCAAAATGTACAATAGATATTGCGAAATGGGAAGAAATTATTCAAAAGGAAAGATGAACTAGGGGAAGGAAAAGGAGAAAGGAAGGAAGGGAAAAGAAAATACAAGATAGTTACACTACTAGTTTCTCTTATTTCATTGAAAAGAAAATTTACGCTAATACCATTTAGAGAATTTTTATGCCCATATTTTGTACTCTGAGTAACTACTTTGAAGGTAAAAATGTGCAATGCATTGACTATTGTTATTCTCCTACTATTTTGTTTTGAAACTTTGTTTCTATTTTTTCCATATCATAAAAAATAGTAATATTTACAAAATATATGACACAAGTGAAATTTTAAACTATAAACTTATACATCATCTTCTTTCTCACTTTACCTAAAAGTGCAAAGCAATACTGAAGGACATCACAAAACTTTAAACTAATCAATGCCAACAAAATTTTGAACTTGGAGTTGAACTAGTTTTTCAAATCTTACCAGAAAATCCTCTGTCTGTGAAGCACATGCTCTTCCAAGCATATGCTCCAATTTTCCACCAATTCCCTGTTATTTATATCTCATTAACTTTGTTTTGTTTTGAAAATAGGGACCAAAACAAAAGCCTTCTCTCAATCTTAGGTTTCTTCATCAAAAATTGTAACCGGACCTAGCCAGACAACAGCAAGATTGAAGAACAGGACTTTCCAGGACTTATTCCCTCCTCATAAGCATCAATTTGAACAGCAGCTCATGCACAAGAGCTCCTTCACAAAAGCTGGACAGACCAGGTGTGAGCTTATAGCACCAGGGTTTAGCACAAAAAAAGGACCATAGAAGAGGACAGGAAAGAGCACTCAGTTCCTGCCTCAGACTTTTCTCCACCAACCCCGAGCAGCACAGTATGGAGATGGGAACACTCGGTCCGGGGAAAGGAGATGATAAGCACTAGCATTTGCCTCCGATCACAACAGCAAGCCTGCCACCGTCCAACTCAGCACTGGGCAGTCCCGCATGGCCCCAGGCTCCAGGACTGCACCACAGCCCAGTCCCCAGGCCCAACACCACCAGCTTCAGTCTCTACAGCACAGAGACTTGGTCTCAAGCCTGCCCAGCACCAGGCTGGCCCCAGTGAGCACTGTTGGTAGCAAAGGTGTAGCTACCGCAGAATACAGAAACGAGCTCCCTCAGTCTCCTACAAAAGGAACTTTTGAGAATCCAAAAAAAATTGAAGTCAGGAAAACCTAAGAGATATCTACACTGGATGAGTTCATTTTACATGATTCAACCCTTGCAGCAATATGTGTCCGTTTACAGATGAATGGGCACACAAAATATGGTATATACATACAATGGGATACTGTGCAACTTTACAAAAGGAAGAAATCCTGTCATACACAACTACTTTAATGAACTTTGAGGCTCACAGTGTCTGCTCAACAAGTATAAAGTTTCGGTTGTGGAGGATGAATAAATTCTAGAAATCTTCTGTACAACATTGTGTCTATGGTTAATAGTACTATATTCTATCCTCAAAATTGTTAGAAGAGTAGATCTTATGTTACGTATTGTTACTATTAAAAACTCAAGGAAAATGGATACACAAAAAGTGGCATACACATAAAATGCAATATTATTCAGCCTTAAAAGATAATTAGAGTATGACACTGTCAAAAGGGGAGAACTCTATACAACTTTGGCTATTGTATATCAAGAAAAGTTATGGCCACAACAAAGAATATGAGCTTAGTTTTTGGGTTTGGTACTGTCTATGGCTTCAGAAACCTGTTGGTCTCTTAGAACGCATCCTCTTCAAAAAAGACAGCCAGCCGTAAACTCGTTTCAATGTTTTTTATTTTTACGCTTACAGATAAAACTGTATATATTTCTGTATAAACCTGTATAACATGGTAATTTGAAGTACATATACATGTGGAGTTACTAAACTTAACTAATTAAAACATGCATTGCCTCACATAGCTATCACTTTTGTGGTGAGAACATCTGACATCCATTCTCTTACCATATTCAAAAATCCATTATATTGTCATCTGCTATAGTCACCATGCTGTAGCATAAATCCCTTGAGCTTATTTTGTAATTTTGTACCCTTTAACCGACATCTCCCCCAATATTATCTGCAACTAACCCAGCTTCTAGTAACTACCATCCAACTCTCTGTGTCCATGAGATGAACCTTTGTTAGAGTTCACATACGAGTGAGAACATGCAGTGGGTGCTTTTCTTTGGCTTATTTCCTTTCACATAAAGTGCTCAGGTTCATCCATACTTTCGCAAATGTATCACATACAATATCTAGCGCTGTCTTAGGATTATGCTCGATGAGCTGTAATAGAGATAGTTTCCTTAATATAGCTGAATAGCATTCCAAGGTGAAGGCATCCTACATATGCTTTCAGCAGTCATCCCATTGGTGGACACTTTGGTTGATTCTGTATCTTGGCTACTATGAATTTGCTAAATTGCATCAAATGTTTTTTCTGCATGCATTGAGATGACCCAAGTGGATTTGTTTCCTGTTCTGGTAATGTGATGTATAATACTCATTGCTTTGCATGTACTGGATCAGGCTTGCATCCACTTCTGCAGGGGATCTTCACATCTCTGATCATCAAGCATATCAGCCTATGGTTTAGTTTTTACTTATTTTAGTGTCTTTGCTATCAGGGTAGTGATAGAATCATAAATTGAGATTGAAGCATTGTCTCCTTTTCAACTTTTTGGAAAGGTTTAGGAATAGTTATTACTCTTTAAATATTTGGTAGAAGTCACTTACATAGCCATCTTGTTCTGGGCTTTTCTTTCAGGGGAGACTTTTTAGTACCGATTCAATATAAAAAAAAAAAAAGATTCACACACTGACACCTATACCAACTCAAATGAACCTTGAGTATACTAAGGTTATTCATGTGTACACTAATGTCACAGACTTATTCCACTCATTGCACTAAATGAAGTAAGACATACACGAGGAGGCTGAGAATGAACCTCCTTTTCCCAGTACAGGCAAGGTCCAAGGGATTCATTTCTCAGCATCACCAAAAAAACATGACATGGGCAAAGAAACACATACTGTATTTTTCTACCTAGGAAGAAGCTAGACTATCAAATTCATAGAGACAGAAAGTAGTCTAGTGGGTACTAGGGACTGAAAAGGGAAGATACACTACTGTGTAACTATTTGAGTAAGGAGCATCAATTTGGGAACATGAAAAATGTCTGTAGATAATAGGACTGGTGGCTGTTTTAAAATGTGGATGCACTGAATGCCACCGATGTTAACACTGTTGAAATAATATTTTCTGCTATACATATATGCATATATATGCCACAGTTTTTCAAATAACCAGAGGACTTATGAATGAGGTTGGTGAAAAATTAACCAATATTGAGAATAGAGCTAAAAGCTTCGCACTGCCTTTCTGGTCCTGGAATCTGGAGTGTGTCTGCTTCATTCAGAATAAAGGTCCATAACTGCGAAAGCTGATTCCTTGTGAGGGCGCAGCCAGTTCTTCATCTCCTCAAAAGCCACAGCGAACGAGACAGTAGATGAGTCTCCTTGCCGAGAGCTTCCCCGCTTCATCTGTGGGCATCTTCAACTATGACCGTCTGCCTGTGATTTCCTGTATCGCTACCACTGGAAAGCATGGGACCTAATGCTAGATATCAGCATTTTCTCTGCGGAGTACAAACAGAGGATGAATGCCCATGAATTAACCTTGAGGATGTGGCATCTAAGCAGTCATCCCGGAAGAACTTGATTATCTCTAGGACCTTTAAATTCCCAGTCTTTATGGGGCTGGGGATTTAGCTCAGCGGCATAGCTCCTGCTTGGCAAGCGCAAGGTCGTGAGTTCGATTCCCGGTTCAGGAAAAAAAACAATAAATAAATACATAAATTTCCAGTCTTTGGTACCTGAGATTCCTGCCATCTGCCATCGAAATGCCTCAGTCACCTCCTAATAAAAATGTCACAGTCTCCCAAGGGGATCAGACACATAACCTTTAATGCAGATACATAATCACTCTTCAGAGAAATTGTACCATTTTTTCAGCCATATTTTCAAAAAAATTTATTCGCCCTATGCCTAAAACCACCCCACATCCTGGCCCAAGTTCAACAACGTCACAGTTACCAAAGAAGCTAAATAAAGCTCTTTCCAAACTACAGTACCTAAGTCTTCCAAACTATACAGCATTCAGAGTCTAGAAATATCTCTAACCCCACTTCCACTGCATTTCTAAAGCTAACCACTAATGACGTCGCGGCCGCCAAGTAGGGTAAGAGAAAGATCCTGACGGTCGCCTTGGCAAAGATTTCAGCAGAGCCAATTACTAACCCTCTGGGAACTTGAGAGGTCAGTGCCAAGCTGTGCAGTCCGTGGAAGTCTCTTTAAACCTTTCCAGAGTGAGTGAAGAAAGCCTTGCGGAGAAGAGTCTGCGAGAACCGACAGCAGCAGAGCCGCGGACCGACAAGCTGAAGCTTCGGGAGACGCTGCCCCTGTGCTTGAGCGGTTTTCCGGGAAGAGAGTTGAAAAGGGAAACCGGCTTAGGAGTGTAAAGAATTCTCTCTCCAAGTGGTGCATGGGGTCTTAGGAAGCCAAAAGCTGGTGTAGAAAATAATGACCAACAAAGCAGATTTTATCCTTTTACATATTTTAGAGTTGGATGAATACAGTAGCTTTTCATAATTTGATCATTTGGCTTTATTCCCACTTTTTTTATTTCAGTTCAGTACAGTTCAAGGAGATAGTTTCAGAGGAAAGGAAGAGAGTAGAAAAGAAGTCCCGGAAGCATCAAGTTTTCCTGACTAAAACAGCTCACAGTCTGAATAAATCCAGACTGCCAGTGAGAACCAAAGAAACTAAAAATGGCCAAACTGCAGAAATGTCTAGAAAGATAATTCCAGTGTCCCACCTCCCGGTTTACAACACCCACTCAAAGCTGTGCTACCGGCGCACAGAAGAGAAGAAAGTGATGACCACACTGACTCTAAGCACTGAGAAATCCACCACCAACCAGGCCCAGGTCAGTGAAAACTATGCCTTTTCCCCCAAATTGTGTGAGCATTAGTCCATCTCTTTGCAATGCAGTACTATTTGTAGTTACACAACTGACCTGAAATTTAGTACTTAGCTACAAAAATGAATTTAGACAGGGGAACATGAAAATATTAATAGAAGACATTTCTTTGTGGTTCTGAAAAACCACATAAGAATGATTAGAGTCCTATTAAAGCATTGTAGTTAATATAAAGATCTCACTAAATACACCAAATCTATATGCTTCTGTTTCTAATGGCTTGAATGTTTCCCTTTTTCATGACTTTTATGCTACCACTTTGAAAGAAGAATTTGTGAATTAAATTTATTCCTAAGGATTAACCTCACAGTCACCATCTATATAAGCCATGAATCAAAGGAAAGCACCTCAGATAATGAGTTTTCCTGAAAACTGAAGATAATTTTCCTCACTTCCATTAAATCTGAGAAATCATGACACTGATTTTAGTGCTCAGAAATTTTTTGAAAAGTTACGTGGTTATGTGTTTTGACAGGGATTTGGATTGGAAACAGAAAAGAGGAGGAGAAAGAATAAAAACCAACATATTTTTGCTGTTGAAAAATCCATGCTTAGATCATTCCAGAAACAGAATATAATTTTTATATGTTCAGTACTTCCATCAGTTAGCAATGAAAGCTGCAAAAAATTCAAAATCTTATTTGACTGAATTTATGTCAAAAGAGGAAATCTTATTATCATAGCTGACCCTAACATTTATGTCTTATCATTGGGACACAAGGTAACCTCGTGTCTCCTTTAGTTCTATTTGTAATATCTAAGCATGGAAGCTTATCTAATACACAATATAATTCTATATGTGATAAAAGTTCAACTGCAAGGAAAATTTACTTATAGAGTGGTATGAGTTTTAGTGGAACTTTGTACCATTTACATAGCCACTTCTAAAGATGTAAGAAAAAGAGCATAGAAAAATAGTCCTGTCATGTCACGCACAACATCTAGGGCTGTCGTAGGAATTATGCTCAGTGAGCTGTAAAAGAGAATTTCCTTAGCAGACATAGAGAAAACAACTCCATGTGTAGATCTGTCCCTATCTCTATGTGCATTCATATGATAGGAGTCTTGGATCACAGAAAACAGCTGGTTTATATTTAACAAGAGTTGTTACTTTGCTATGCCACACATGGATGACTTTAGTAGAATATTGTATTCACATTCCCATAAATACTCGTGACAACAGATAAGTATAAATTCAAAGTTATGGTAATTGATCATCTTTCTATACACACACATTATCTGAACAATGAAAAGAAGATATCATCCAGAATTTTTAGAGCAAGAAAGTTTGGACGTCAACACATCAGCACTGACTCTTACAAACACCTTGCTTAACTTCAGTGGTACTCGTAAGTTACTATTATTAATCCATTAAAGTGAGTTAGGAGAAATCTACCCTCATTCTGTTTTTCTATACAATAGTCTACAAAAGAACAGAGGTGAGCAGAAGTATAACACCATTAATTTCATAGAACAGGAGTCCTGAACTAATAAAGTATTTTAGTACTGAATTATACTATCAGAACCCCAAATTACCATGATTTTCTTTCAGGTGGATCATATGCCCACAACCCAGGCTAACTGATGGAAAGGATGAGAAATGTAACAGAATTCATCCTCCTGGGCCTCACTCAAAATCCACAACTGCAGAAGCTCCTATTCAGTGTGTGTTTCCTGACCTATTTGATCACACTGGCAGGTAACACGCTCATCTCCGTCACCATCTTCATCAGCCCCGCCCTGGCTTCCCCCATGTACTTTTTCCTGTCCTGTCTGTCCATTATAGATGGTTTCTACTCTTCCTGTATAGCTCCCAAAATGGTCTTGGACCTGATCTCGGAAAACAGCACCATATCCTTCAACGGCTGCATGACTCAGCTCTTCGCTGAACACTTTTTTGCCGCAGCCGAGATCATCCTGCTCGTCGCCATGGCCTATGACCGCTACGTGGCCATCTGCAAACCCTTGCACTATGTGACCATCATGAGTCGACCTGTGTGTGCTTCCCTGGTGGGGGCCGCTGTGCTCTTGGGATTTGTTCATGGAGGGATACAGATTTTGCTTATGTCTCAGTTACCTTTCTGTGGCGCCAATGTCATTGACCACTTCATGTGTGATTTAATCCCACTCCTGGAGCTGGCTTGCACTGACACACTCACTCTGGGGCCCCTGATCGCTGCCAACAGTGGGTCGCTGTGCTTGCTCACTTTTTCTATGCTGGTTGCTTCCTACGTCATCATCCTGCGCTCCCTGAGGACATGCAGTTCTGAAGGGCGCCACAAAGCCCTGTCCACCTGCGCCTCTCATGTCGCGGTTGTTGTCCTATTTTTTGTGCCTTGTTCGTATCTCTATCTGAGACCCGTGACCTCCTTCCCCACCGACAAAGCCGTGACTGTGTTTTGTACCCTAATAACACCCATGCTGAACCCTTTAATCTACACCCTCAGAAACGAGGAAGTAAAAAAGGTTATGAAGAAGCTCTGGGGTCAAATAATAAAAAGGGATATCAGATGAATCTTGTGATTCGTGTATTTAGACAAGACTGCTTAGTAACATTTTATGGAGATTTGTTGAACTTAGTGAATGATTAAAATTGAGATGGTCAATTTTCCTGTCTGCCTCTAATTGTTTCACTGACATATACTAATAGTATATATTAGGGGGTGCAGGGGGTAATTTAGCTCAGGTATATAATTATACTGATCCAATTAAGGTAGTTAGCACTTCCATCTCTTTAAATGTTTGCCATATCTTTGTGTTGGGAATCTTTGAATTCCTCTCTTCTGGTTTTGTACCAAATACGTGATAAATTGTGAACTACGGTTTTAGGGCAATAGAACGCATTCCTCCTCACTGTATGTTGACATTCGTCATTGAAACTCCCCCATTCCTCCTCTTCCCCATCCCTCCAAGTTTCCAGGGACCACTCTTCTACTGTCAGTTTCTACGCGTTCAACTTGAGACCTGGAGAGAGGAAAAGAAGGCTCTGAATGCAAACAACTCTTACAGGCAACTGCGAGTCATGTAAGCGTTAAGTTGGGTCCTGGAACTGGATAACAAGGTTCACAAACCTGAGTGTAGAGAAGAATTCAAAGCATGAACATAACAAGATGCTAAGTGATTCACAAAGAGCCAGGTGCTCTGAAGTCAGAGAGGAAAAGCTTTGGGTGAGACAGCCCTCATTCCTGACCTTTTTTTCAAGCATTAATTACCATTATAAATGTAAAACAGATTCTTTACTTCTGTCTTCATTAGGAAAGGGGAATAGCATTACATACTTTGTTAAACACAGAGAATTAAATTTTCTTAATTGAAACCAGGTTGCGAAAAACTGTGAAAATTGCCCAAGGGCTGTGCAAACTTCAAGGATGTCACCAGCCCTTGCGGGATGCCGGGCTGCAGTTCCAATTGGAGGAATCACAGGACACCACTGCTGTGCTTTGGTAGCCATGATCAAGGAGGATGAGACCTCTGTCCCAACCCCTCTCCACTTCAGAATATGTCATCAATCCATCCTTTTCTGGGTAGGGACATCACAGCCATGGGATCATCTTATCAAGGATGATTAATGGGGCCAGTGTCCAGGTCTCTGAAAACTAAGGGTGAACTCATTAATGACTCGCTACCCCAGGATTAAAATGCCATAAATGTCTCTGTAGTTACAGATGGTGGAGGCAGTGGGAGTGACTCTGAGATGCCTGAGCAGAACTGAGTTCAAGGCTCTCCCATGTGATGGATTCTGCCATATCACCTTTCTGTCTTTTGGGTTTCTCATTCAACATGAGAATTGTTTTTCAACTTCTGTGTATTTCAACTTCTGTGTCTGATTTATCTCATTTAACATTCATATGAGGAAACAGGGAGAGGGAGCAGAGGATCTGGAGAAGGGGAAGAGAGGGGAGAGTAGGGAGAAAGTGGATAACATGGTCAAGATTATGTACTGAATGCAATCATTATGCACTGCACAGAATAAACACATTAACACAGTAAAGGTCACTGTCCTCTCCTAGTCCTCTGGAGAAAGGAGACACCAGTGCCCGGACCAAAAGGCCTCCTTCTGGACTGCTCTTGTGGCCCCTGTGGGTGAGTTCGGAAACAGGTCCAACCCAGGGATTCCAGGATTGCCTGGCCTGACACTTCCTATGTCTGCAGAGCATACACAAGGCCAGATCTCACATACAATGCCTACCGTGGAAGAACAGATGCTACGCCAACTGTCTGTTTCAGAAATCGTATGAAACCAATTGTATGCTTTTCAAGCTCAAATTCATCTCTCAAAAGTGGAGTTTTATATCTCAAGAAAAAGAGGACGAGAAATAAGATCATGTAAACTAAGAATGATGATGAGCCGGGCATGGTGGTACACGCCTGTAATCCCAGCACTAGGGAGGCTGAGACAGGAGGATCACTAGGAGTTCAAGGCCAGCATGAGCTACATAGTGAGTTCAAAGCCAGCCTGTCCGGCATAATAAGAGCCTGTCTGAAAAAAAAAAAAAAACTAAATGAATGAATGAATGAATGAATGAGAATGATGATGTTGACAATAGCAACAATAAAAAGATTATGATGGTGGTCTGATAGTGATGAGGAGGAGGAGGAGAGCTAATGTTCCTGGAGCATTTTCTGTGAAGAAACACTAACCTAAGCACTCATTCTGATTTTGGAGACAGTGAATTTTCTTTTTTTCTTTTTTTTTTTTTTTTATTCTCTGCTTTGTTTTATGTGACAGGATTGTATCTCTGTACACAAGATGGTGTTTTGAAATATATACATGTACACATTGTAGAATGGCAAAATTGAGCTATAAACATATGCATTTTCTCATATAGTCATCCATTTGTGGTTAAAACTCTTCTTTCTTTGTATCAGGATTTGAACTCAGGACCTTTGCTTACCAGGCAGGTGCTGTGCCCCTGAGCGATATCTCTAACCTTGTGATTAAAACTCTTAGAATCTAGTTAGCTGAAATTAGTTTAAAATGTATTCAGCTAACATTTGGGCTATACAGAATTCAAGTCTAAACTAGCCCATCTCAAAGCCTTTGTGCTTGAGCAAACCCCATGCCACTAACTCTGAATATGAACAGAAAAGGCTAATTTCTTACATCTGTCTTCAATTTCTCAAATTTTCTGAGGAATTCTCCCTGGCAGGTAGTCCTCCTTTCACAGAAGAGAAAGGCTAAAAATGTTGACTCTGAAAAGAGCTAGGTTGACTTGTCAGTAATTTACAGCCTCGTGAAGGCTTTGATTCTCACGGAACAGGACATCACGTTGAAATTACGCGTTCCTTTTCCTGCCTGCGTCAGTGTGTGCACAAAGGGGTCGCCTATGGCTTGCAGAGGAGCATTTTCCTCTGATCAATAAACCCAGAAGAAAAATTATCAAATATACTTGATATAAGTAGCTCTGCATTCTCATGTCCATTTAAAACAAAAACTCTCCATGAAAGAGAGGTGGAAAATTATTTTTCAGCAGCTAAAACAGAGATGGCCTTTTTACCTCTGCAGTATATCATCCACAGTACTCAAACTTTGGAAGTTTGCATTATTTCTGGTTTTTATTATTCCATTTTTCTTTTCTCCCTGGCGGGGAAGGGAACCAACATTTATCAGGCTCCAATCACCATCATCTGCTATTCATTGCACATATTACTCTCCCCTGACTGGGCACAGACTGAGGAATAAAATACTCCTTGTTGGGCAAGAAAACGGGATTGGAAAGGTTTATTTGCTTAGAAAATCACGTAAACTGAAAAAATAAATAACATCTCCCCAGAGTTTAGCATCTGCCTTTTAGGCTAGCAGAGGCTTAGCCAAGGTTACACAAGAAGTTGAAGTTATAGTAAAGAATGAATCATTGAGGAGCAGAGACCCCAGGGGCAATGTGAGGGAGAGAACATGGGAGCCATGGAAAGAGTAGCCTGGAATCAGGAATGGGTCACCATGAGCATGGCTGTCGTAAGTATGTAGGGACACAGGGAGTTCCTGGTACCAAGAGATAAGCATCGTCAGAATTCCCTTGTTTTGAAAGAAAAAAACACACACCATTTGCTTAGCACCAAAAAGAGACTATTCTTAGTGTGACATATGCTTTTCATGTTTATTTTTCAATTTAACTATACTGTCTTGTATGAACACATTCCTTTTAAAATTAGAATATAAAAATTGAAAGTAAAAGATTGCTATGCAATTCCCCTTGACCAAAAAAATACACTACTATGCATTTGATAGTATTCTTGCAATTGCTTCTGAAAATAACTTTCACATACACAAATACACACTCATCCACACACACCTAAGATAAAGTTATATTGATAGTAAGTGATTTCTTTTTCTAGCATTGTCATCATACTAGATGTGTCATTCTTCAACGTATCTCTTCACTTAACATTAGGTTTTCCAGACTTCTCTTTATTGAAATAGCAAAATCCAAATTATTTTAACCACATATAAAATCCATTATTTGTCACATTTTATTGAAATATTGCTCTCTTTGTTTGTTCTGTTTTATGACCCAAAAATTCTACAATGAGTATTGCTGTACATGATTAAATGTGCACCTCATTCAGAGTTTCTTCAAAAAAAGAAACGAATACATAAATCTATACATGATCAACTGTTTTATTTTTAATAAATGCCCTCAAGTAACTGTCTAAGGTGATGAAGTTAACAGCAAGGGATGAGAAAGCCTCCTGCTGCTCCTTTTCTAGCAGCATTGATACCCTGAAGTGTTTTAGGCTTTGCCAAGCTAATAGGTAAAAATGGAATCTCATTGTACCTACAATTTGGCATTTTCCTAGTTTCTACTGAAGTTGGGTGAGTTTTTAAATATTTACATAATTTGTAAAATTTCTTGTTTGCACATTTAACTTTTCACCTCTTGGTCGTGTAACTTTTTGTTGTTTGTAAGAGTGCTTTCTGTATGCTGCCTTCTGGTTAAGGTAGACTCAAATAGCCTCTCTGAGACAATGTCCAGTCATTGGACTTTGTTTATGGTGTCTTCTTATCATTCAGAAGCACTTTATTTATTAAATAGCCACATTTGTTGGTTCGTTTTATTTTTTTATTTTAAAGATAAAAGAATGAAAACACACTGACATACAAACAAAAAAACACCCAGACAATAGAAGCAATACAGAATTTCGGACAAGGTGATAGGAAATTAACAATTGTTGTTGTATTACATATTGTTATCTTCAGATTGGTTATTCAGTTAAGCAAATATAGTCATGTAAGATTGATCAAACAATTAAACATTAACTGTTCCTTTCAATAAAGCAATAGAAGTCAGTAGTACATCTCTCTTAGATATCCTGTCCTGTGCATATATATTTTTTTCCCTTTCTTTCTTTTTCTCTTTTCCCTCATCCCATTTGTTTTTTCCTTTTGAGCAGTTTCTTTCCCTTTCACAATATCTATTATACTTTTCAGATTTTATTTACTCTTTCAGGTTCTTACACTAGTAAGGCAATATGGCATTTACACATGCAGGTCTGATTTATTTCACTTATAAGTATGGACTCTAGTTGCATCCAGAGGTCCCATTCAACCCAGCTATTTCCCTTTTGGGTATTATTCCAGAAGAACTAAAAACATCATGCCACAGCAATATATGTGCACTCATGTTTATAGTTGCACAATTTGTAATAGCTAAACCGTGGAAGCAACCCCGAATGACCATCAACTGAGGAATGGATGAAAAAGATGTGGTATTTGTATATGACAGAATATTACTCTCAGCTGTGCAGAAAGATAAACTTGTTAGTTCATTTTAATGACTTACGTTCAGAAGTTTTTTCAGCCTAAGTCATAAATGTTTTCTCAAATATTTCTTGCATCTGGAATTTATTTTCATAATTGTATAAAGCAGAAACCTAACAAGGCACAGTGATTCATGGCTGTAATCCCACCGCTCTAGAAGTTTGAGGCCATAGTTCTGTAAGTTTGAGCCCAGTCTGGGCTATTTAGTGACTTAGCAAGACCCTGCTTCAAAACACAAAATGGAAAAGGCTAGGATGGAGCTCAGCATGAAGACCCTGTGTTCAATCCCCAGTATCACAAAAGAAGCAGGAAGGACTTTATTTTAAAACTCTCAAGTAACTCCACATACTCCTATAGTGCCGTTCATGAATATCTTATATGAATGGGTATCAAGGTCTGAATTGTAACTAGCCTGGATCAAACTATGACAAAGTAAAAGAAGTCAATATTTATTTTGCTCCAAATTTCTGCAACTTTTTGCCGCAGCAGATATAAAAGTTTGAGGCCAAAACAAGAACTTGATCATGTTCCAAATGTACTGGTTCCTAGAAACTAATTCCTCTTAGAGTAGAAAAATGCTTTCCTATTACTTTCCAGATTATTTCTTAGTACAGAAATGGATATGGCCCTGGGGTGTGACTCAGTGGCTGAGAGCATTCCCAGCACACCACAGCCCTGGTTTCGTTTCACACACACACACACACACACACACACACACACACACACTGAATATGTTGCAATATGGTAAATTACAGATTGTCAGACAGATTATTTGTATTATAAAGGAGGGAAGCCCGCATAAAGGTTGAAAGATTGGGAGGGATAAGGTCAAGGTTGTAAAACCAGGAAAAATGTGGAATAAATGCACATACATATTAAATATGAAAAATAAAACCACTGATCTCTAAAACAGAATATTCCAACCTATTAGAGATAGACAAGCAAAGGAAAGAAACCTCTGTGTGGATGATTAGGAAAGGACTGGGTACACAGAGTAATATCAGGTCAACATGCTGGCACTTTACTCTGTGCCGAAAGCTGCTTTAAAACCTACATATAGGTCATTTCATTCAATTTTCACAGCAACAGTTTGAAACACAGATTATTCTTACCCTTCTGCTCTTCCTTTACTGGGATGCATAGTTCATGCCTTTAAAAAAAAAAAAAAGGAGGAGATCCTGCCATTTGACACATCACAGATGTACCTAGAGGACTTCATGTTCAAAACGCTAAGCCAGTCGCATAAATACAAATACCGCATTATCGCACTTACATGTGGAATCTAAAACATCAGGCCTTTAAGGGCAAGCACCAGAGGTTCATATCATTTTGGGCCACTTAGTCAAGGTCAGTAGCAAGCACAGAAAATGAGATCCAGACTCAAGTTTGTCTGTCTCCAGGGCTGGCTGCCCACTCCCCACTTGAGATATATATATATATATATCAAACACTTACTTTTTACTAAAATTATACAATTCATGTGAAAACCCTTCTCAGTAAACCATAGAAGTCTCTGAAGATGAAAAGGTGATCTATGGTAATATGTACAAGCATTAGCTGTTTCACTTACAGAAATGAAGTCATCTATTTTTCTGCCTTGCCACGCACTATTTTCCTGCGACTTCCTATTGTGTAAAGAACTTTCTCATGGCATTTTTTACTTCTTCATTTCTCAGGGTATAAATGAGCGGATTCAGCATGGGTGTCAGAATGCCATAAAATACTGCCATGCTCTTGTCTATGGGTAAAGTAGATGATGGACGCATATAACTAACTATACAGGGCACAAAGAACAAGGTCACCACTGTGAAGTGGGCCCCGCAGGTAGAGAGGGCTTTGAGCCTCCCCTCCGCACTGCGGGACCTCAAGGAGCGCAGGATGATAATGTAGGAGGCAGCCAACATGAGGAAGTTCAGCAGGCAGATCACGCCGCTGTTGGCCACCACCAGCACACCAGGACATAGGTGTCGGTGCAGGCAAGCTGCAGCAGAGGGTACAAGTCGCAGACAAAGTGGTCGATCACGTTGGGCCCACAGAAGGGCAACCGAAGGACCAGAAAGAGCTGAACCGATGAATGCAAGAAGCCCCCCAGCCAAGCCACCGCCACCAGCATGGCACAGAGGTTCCTGGTCATGATGGTCGTGTAGTGCAGGGGCCTGCAGATGGCCATGTAGCGGTCATAGGCCATCACCGTGAGCAGAATGATTTCAACACCTCCCAAAAAATGGGCTCCGAAGAGCTGAGCCATGCAGCCCTCATAAGAGATGGTTGTGCCCTCATACAAGGAGTCAGCAATGAGCTTAGGTGCCAGAGAGGAGGAATAACAGATGTCGATAAAGGACAGATTGGCCAGGAAAAAGTACATGGGGGAAGCCAGCAGGGAGCTGGCAGCGACGGTGACCACAATGAGCATGTTGCCACACACTGTGATCACGTAGATAACCAAAAAGAACACAAAGAAAGCTCCTTGTACCTCTGGCTTCTGTGAGAGTCCCAACATGAAAAATTCCGTCAGATTGCGCCGAACGGCCATAGAATCCAAGGGCACAAAGAACGCAGCTACAGCAACGCCTACAGAGTCAAAGGAAACACAAGAAACACACAGGAATTCATTCCAGAGCTTTTGGCCAAGTGCACACACAGCAAGAGGCGCGCAAATACCTGCTCAGTCTTCACCGAAGTCTGTGCCCACACTGTCTGCTCCTTCGCTCTTCACGCCCTGCCTACGAGGTAGATTCTCCTCTGAGTCTCATGTTGCAGAGAAGGAAAATGAGACACCCACTGCACAACTTGGAGCGGGGGTCTTGAGAACTTTCCTCCCCCTCCCACGACCCCTATCACTTTGGGGGAAGTATAACCAGGAAATAAGGGGCAGGGCCGGGGGCGGCACCAGGCTGTCTCGCCGCAGGCCTGTGGGCTTCGCTGAACCGCCTTACATTTACGCATCTGCGAGTGACTCTTCCTGTGCCGCTGATTGACCGCGTCACCACGAACGACTTCTCACAGCCTCCATGTCCTTATTTACAGAATGAAGATAAAAGCACTCACGGTTATTATGTATCAGTTTTAGAAAGGACTCTAAAAGTTTAAAATAAATAAGTTTTTCTATAACCTGAGGTTACAGAGGACATGAAAATAGCACATTCACCTGTTTGGAAGAGCCTGCGTGCGTCATCCCTCCGTAAAGGGCGCCTCTAGCCATCAGCATTAACGCAATGGGCAGCAACCCTTCCTGTGGCTTAGGGGCCAGGGAGTAAGTGTGTGCAGCCAAGACTAAGCGGGTATCGATGTGGATATAATTTCATACTGGCGAGGCTGTGGAGAAATAGGAACTCTTCTCCACTGCTGGTGGGAATGCAGACTGGTGAAACCACTGTGGAAATCAGTGTGGAGATGCCTCAGCAAACTAGGTCTAGAGGTCCCGTTCAACCCAGTTATTCCCCTTCTGGGTATTTTCCCAGAAGATCTGAAAACATCATACCACGGAGATATATGTGCACCTATGTTCTTAGCAGCACAATTTGTAATAACTAAATCACAGAAGCAACCCAAATGCCCATCCACTGAGGAATGGATAAAAAAATTGTGGTATTTTTATATAATAGAATGTTACTTAGCTATAAAGAAAGATAAACTCACAGCTTTTACAGGTAAATGGTCACAACTAGAGACCACTTTCATAAGCGAAATAAACCAGACCTCCCTGTGTAAGCAACGTATTGTCTCACTAGTGTAAGAACCTGAAAGAGTGAATAAAAATTAGGAGGTATGACAGACATTGTGAAACTAAAGGAAAATGCTCAAAAGGAAAGAGCAACTGGGGTGAGGGAGAAAAGAAAGAAGGGGAAATTATGTATACATGTATATACAGGATAGCCAATATAGTTATACTACTGACTTCTATCACTTTACGGAAAGGATCAGTTAATCATTAATTATTTGACCCATCTTGCATGTCTCTATTTGTTTCCCTGAGAAACCACTTTGAGGATATCAATAAGTAATACAACAACCATTGTTAATTTCCTACCACTTTGTCTGTAATTCAGTATTACTTGTAATGTTCTTATGCTATTTTGTAAATGGATGTCTATTTGTTATTATGTTTTCCTTCTTTTATTTTTAAAATAAAATTTTAAAAATTCTTTTAAAAAGATATGGATATAACTTCAAACTAATCACAAAAAATTCCCTAATACTGATTTTCATACAGAAAGCAGAGGGCAGAGGGCAGAAGGCAGAGAAAATAAAATCATTATGAGTACTGTACAACATAGCCACATACCTACTTCATATGCCCCAAAGTAAAAATGATAAGCTGACTTACCTCTGTGATGCAAATTTGTGGGAGTACAAAAAAAACCACATTCATTAAAAATTAATAAAGAGCCAGGCATGGTGGCACACCCCTGTAATCCCTGCACTCTAGGAGGCTGAGGCAGGAGGATAACAAGTTCAAGCCCAACCTAAACCACTTAATGAAAGCCTTTCTCAAAAATGTAAAAAAGGACCAGAGCTGTAGCCCAGAGCACCAGGATTGAAACAACAACAAACTAGTAAACAAAGGAAATCTCCTGTCTGGGTTATCCAAGAGGAATAAAATTATTTGTACAACATAATGATAATTTTAGTAAAAATCATTCTATTCCATTTTTATTTGTTTTTTTTTTTTATTTTAAAAATGGATGGCAGAAAACTTACATTGACTGAATCTGAGGGCGCCTGCGGATATCCAGAATGTTCGTACACCCCAGTATAGTGGAGAGATGAATATGACAGTCTTGCAGGGTCGCTGAGGCCTGCTCCAAGCACGTCATCCCACATTTCACTGTTTCATGCTTTTAAAATCCTAGATGAGATTCAGCTTCTTTTACATAAAGCCAACACACAAACTGGGCAGTTGTTACTTATTAAAGAAACTAAGCTGAGCTTTTCTTACAATAGAACTAGACGAAAAGCCCAGAGGAGGCCATTCACTTACAAGCAGGTAGGTAGGTGTTCTTCCCATTGTTCAGTTCCTTGTATTAGCTAAAGAACATGATGACATTTAAAACCATCTTTTCCAATCGCTCCCCTTTTAGTGGTGGGTTTGAGACGCAGAGGGATGAAGTGCAGCTGGTGCAAAGTTGTGTGGGAGATTTGGGGCAGAAGTACGACCAGCACCTGGTCATTTGGTACTCCATTTTAGGTTTTTTCTCATACAACCACCACCCTCCTCTGTCTGCTTTCCCTCCCTTTGGAAGGAAAGAAAGAAAGGGAGAGAGGAGAGAGAGAGAGAGAGAGAGAGGCTTCTGATATTCAGCGGCAAAAGCTCTGTGGATATCAGACTTATTTGTTGTGCTTTCTTCAAAGAATGTCCATCAACACAGTCTCTGAGAAAATCATTCCCTTTCTGCTGAAAGGTAACTTATAAGGCAGAAAAGGTGACCTAGGGCTTATTAACGCTGGGCTCTCGTGCCCCTCTGAGGGAGCCTAAGTCTCCGCCCTCTCAGGGTCTCTAGCTGAAGCAGCATTGGAAGCAGCTCCGCCTCGTTCACAGTTTAGAGCCATGCTGATGCCCTCCCATGAGGAGCCCCGCAGACAGTTTGGTTTCTCAAGGAGGTAGCCTCTACTCTGCCTCTTTACAATGCCCAGTGTCCATCTAACATACAGAAAGAGCCCACAAATTGTCAAGAAGCAAAGGAAGAGTTAGGGTATTTCGGGAACTGCTACTGGAGGGGCACGGTTTTTAGGAAGAGCACCGACTGAACAGCAACAGCAAATCCAAAAGCGTTCATTGGGCATCCTGCGGCAGCACAGGTCCCAGGCCCTCTCCCAGGCACAGCTCTCTCAGCTCCCCACCTCAATGCACAGAGGGAAGAACCAGTGTCCAGTATCCACCTCTCCACTGTGTGGCACCCTAAGATCAGGGAGCTGGAGTCAGAGCCCCAGAACAGGACTTACGCTTCTACCGTTTCCAACCGCCAGTCAGTATTCACTCAGGTCCTACTTAACATAAAGTAGCACTTTGCCACATGTCAGGCATACCACAGGGAGCAAGCCAGATCTGGTTCTGAGCAGCAAGGAGCCTATATTCTAAAAGGAGTGGTATTCACCTCCAAAATAAAACAGGAAGAAAAATAAATAGACAAAACCAAATATGTGAAATTGCCAGATTAATTACAAATATAGATATACAGGTATAGATGCATAGTGTTAATGGTCATAAGTAATTATGAATTTCTCTCCAAAAAGCTATACCCATTTGTCTTCCTAAGTGAGCTCAACAATTCCACACTTAGAAGTTAATCCAACAATGATAATCCTAGTCCTTCATGGACATGCAGTAAAATTGCTAAACCAGAGAGATAGACACACTTAATATTTATTGATATATTGTATGAAGCAAACTTCCTTCCATGAGATCTATAACCACTGGCACTCCCAGTGCTCTTGTTTGTTTCGCCGTATGTACCCAATAATTACTCAATATTGCCAAATTCTATTCTAAGCCCCCTCTAAAACCATTGCTTGACAGCATCTAGAAAAAGTCACAAAATTTATTTGAGATTTATTCTACTATAAATTTATATCCATAACCTTAAACAGCCCATTAAAATTGCTGAGCAACACTACTTCATTTCTTTAATCAACACATATTACCATCTTTCCTCAAGAACCATCTACAAATTGCCTTATTTTCTTCAATATTCTCTTTCCTATTTTCCAATCTCTACTCTTCACTTTTAACACAGATTCCCTGTCAAACTAGACAAAACTTTCTTAGAACTACTTTTTTATCTGGAAAGTTCTTCCCTTCCTTCATTTTACCCCCTTCTGCTTCAGAGCTGTGTTAATCAACCTTCCCATCGCCGACACCCACAATTTGAAGGAGAAAAGGTTTCAATTGGCTCCTGGTTGAAGAGGATTCATTCCCTGGTCAGGTGTCTCTAAGGTAGAAATATCACGGCGGAGTAAAGTCACTTAGCACATGGCAGCTAGAGAACAAGACCAAAGATAAAATGACAGGGACAAGACATGAACCCTAAGGCCACACTTGTCTGACCAATCCAGACAAACCCAGAAATGTACTCCATCAAGCCCCCAGGCAGATTCCAGAGCCAATCAAGTTGACACTTCACCCTAACCGCCACAATAGGAGTCAGATATACATAATTCTCAGTGGTCTTCCCACCTTCCCTCACTAGTATTTCACCAATAAAACTCTTGCATATTTCTTCTGCCTTAGCATCTGCTTCTCAGAGAAGTGGGAGCTATACAAAATGAAGAATAAAGAATTTGGACAAATCAATAAAATAAAATTAGACAAGTAGGTGAATCTTGAACAAGCACTTCAGAACAGAAAATCACCAGTAAACATGTAAGAAAAAGAGAGAGCATACTTCTTTAGTCATCTGGAAAATATGATGCAGAATCATAAAACATACCACTGCAATGCTCCTCCCCTGTGTCCAAAATTTAAAAGATTGTCCATATGCAGTGTCTGATGGCAATGCAGAGGAGTGGTATCTTTCAAGCACAACTGGTGAAATG